CGGTGCTTCCGTCATGTCATCGCTACATGAAACAACTCCAAAATGACCCTGCAAATGTTAGGAGAACATTTGTAGTGTGGAGAACGGACGTCATGTCATCGCTACATGAAACAACTCCGAAACAACCCTGCAAATGTTAGGAGAACGGTGGGCTTCTCATTTGTAGTGTGGAGAACAGAGGAGGAAGCTGTACTCAAGAAAGAGACAGGGCTGAACCCCCTGCTGACCGGGAGCAAGTGTCGGGAAGCAATTGCAGGGCGAAATCATTCAGCAACAACCCTTGTGGGAAATAAGTAGACCAAGGTAAAATTGCTTTCTGCGTCACGACAAACACAGGGAAAGTTTGAGGGCTCAACACAGGCAATGAAATTGCGTTTCAGAAGTTCAGAGCCGTTGAGGCCAAAACGACAGTTAGTACAGGTTTATCGGTTGGAAAGAGGGGGAAAGGCAGCAGGCAGGGTGCAAAATGCCAGACCATTGCTTAAGATAACGGTCCTTTCCCCCTTTCTTATTGATATTTTCAGGGCAGCATGGAGGAATAGTGGCACCGTGTTCAAAATAGAAGGGAGGGAGGGAGGAAGGGGTTAATGCTGGATGGAAGGAAGGAAGAAAAGAAGGAAGGGGTGGTGGGAGGGAGCAAGGAAGGAGGGAGAGCGAGGAAGGAAAGAAGGGGTAGAGGAAGGAAGGAAGAGATAGAATGAGGAAGGAAGGAAGGAAGAGTGAGGAAGGAGAGTGAGGGAGGAAGGAAGGAAGGAAGAGATAGAGTGAGGAAGGAAGGAGAGTGAGGCAGCAAGGAAGGGAGGGAGGGAGGGAGGGTATGAGGAAAAAGGAAGGAATGTTGATGTTCTGTATTGTTGTTGTTTCAACTTATATACCACCCCCATAGCGCTAAAGCACTCTCTGGGTGGTTTACAACACAGTTATATGAACAGGAACTTCCCATGCATCGAGCTGGGTTCTCAGTTTACTGACCTTGGAAGAATGGAAGGTTCAGTCCACCTCGAGTGGGTTACCTGAACCGGTTGGGATCGAATTCAGATTGTGAGCGGAGACTGGATTTCAGCGCTGCAGTTGAACCACTGTGCCGTGGGCTCCACGGCAATTCTCCCTGTGCTTTATTTTTGACTGCAGAGGGTTGGGCTGACGGGGATCATCGGAGAAGATGTCCGGAAGGTCCAAGCTTCCTCATCTCAGCCTACATCAAAAGTGCAGAACCTCTGGCCCTTGAAAGGTGGAGAGGTCAACTCTCAGAAACCAACCCCCCCCCCCCGCCACCAGCTTTGCCAGTTCTAAAGGGTTACTCTCAGGGCACTCCAGTTGCGGAATATCCTCCCTTCGAAGCCTGATTGGCACTGACATGGTCCAGATTGGAGTGATTCCCTCAACGATCAGTTGCCAACCCACGAAGCTCGGCTTCTGATCTCTCCGTTTCCTGGTCTTCGTTGTGCCCCTTCTTAAACCACTTTTAAAGAGTTTTTTAAAAAATAAATAAATAAATAAATGCAAAATTGGTCCAGATATTAGCACTAGATTATTTTAAGGAGATGTTCTTGATTGTATCCCACCCTGACATTTGTAAGCTATCTGAGGGGGTTTAGAAAGACAGAAATAGATAAACAAGTGGGGATTAGGGTCCAAATGATTGAGAGGATCTCAGCTGTCAACCTACACCTTACCGAAGAAGCAGGATGAAGAAGGCCATCTGAGGGTCTCTCCTTACACGGTTGGTCTTTAAATCAGATTTGATCTGGGCAGCTCTTCAAATGGACAGCTCTCCCCCCCCCAAAAAAAAGGACTTAAGCAGGCAAAGAATTGCCCAATGTGGACACAGATGCCATCTGTGTCAAGGACATGAGAGGGGCAGGAAGGTGGGTAGTGCCTCGTTCTGCCTTCCTGGCAGGACCGCAGTGTGTCTGAGTGTGTCTGAGTGTGTGTGTGCTGTGTGTGTGTGTGAGAGAGAGACACGGAGTGGACACCCCCCCAGGGATCCTTCAGCGAATTAGAAACACTGCTCGGCTGAGAAGCTGCTCTCCCTTGCCATCTGGTGCGGCCGAACGCCGACCGCACGCTCCAGCCAGCCGGCTCTCGGAGTGCGATTAAAACCTCCCCAGCCAGAGAAGCACAGCTTGCCAGGCCGTGTTACCCGAGGACAGTTTTAATGCAATTAAGGAGGAAAAAGGGGGCCGCCGATCCAGGCACACCTTCGCTGGGCACGTGGTGGGCACTTGAAGGCTTGGAATGGCCCGTGGGATCTGGGGCCTGGATCAAATGGGGTGGAAAGAGAGGGAGGGTCGCCCGGGCATGAAAGGTGGTTAGTCTGCAAGTGCAGGGCATCGGCCCCAGCAGCTCAATCAGACGGTCCCGCCCGGGTCTGCCCTTTGCCAGCTTGTTAGCACAACAGCCACCGGAAGCCAGGCTGTTGATTGAATTGAAACCAGACTCTTATCTGGAAGCATATGAAACATTCACAAATACATTAAAGGGCCAGGGGGGAGAAGGAGGAGGGACATTTACAAAGATTGCCGCCGGCCCATTCTCTTCTCTCCGGCGTGCAGTCCTGCTTGGCCGCAGAAGAGGGGAATGCCAGAGCATCTTGGCTGGGCGCTCGCTCTCGGTGCGCGACAAAGCATGGGCTTGGCAAGGATGTGTCACACTGTTCGCCCCAGTGGGTTCTGAAATGCCTCACTCTATCGGCCTCCTGGGGACCTCCTTCTCCATCCCTCACACACACACACTGGCTCTGCTTGCCTGGATCTCAACTTAATTAGCGCTGGATGGCTCGGCCGCGGCTCGGCTGGCGTGGTTACTTTAATAGGCACATCCTGCTCGGCTATTAAAAAGTCATCAAAGGGGCCTATCTCCTCTGTAAGAGCATAGGGTGGCTGGCCTCCAGGCAGCCAAGAAAACGCAGTAATGGGACTCCGTGTTTGGCCTTCCTTTCAGGCATGCCCAACTGCTTCCTCCTTCCAAACTTCTTGGGGGGAAAGAGTGACCAGATCGGACAGAAAATACTGTATATATATTGTAGGCCAGAACTTGGAGAATTATTTTCAGAAAGTAATTACCGCTATCCATCCGGGATCGTTAAGGAGTGAGTCAATGATACAGTCGCAATTTTAAAGTTTCACTCTTTCCTTGCATTTTCATTCCTATTTACCGTATTTTTATCCCACCTTTCTTCCCTATAAAGGAACACAAGGAAGGGTGCAACAATTTAAAACATATATACACAGATATAAGATCATAAAAAGTAATTACCGCTATCCATCCGGGATCGTTAAGGAGTGAGTCAATGATACAGTCGCAATTTTAAAGTTTCACTCTTTCCTTGCATTTTCATTCCTATTTACCGTATTTTTATCCCACCTTTCTTCCCTATAAAGGAACACAAGGCAGGGTGCAACAATTTTAAAAAATATACAGTACATGGATATAAGATCATAATAGATTAAAACTTGATCATTAAAACAGGATGACACCCAAAGAATCTCAAAAACAGGGTTCATTTAAAAAGTTAAAATGAATTAAAAATAGCTGGGTTTGGAAAGAAAGACAAGTTTAAAGCCAAGCCAGTTTAAAAGGGAAGGTTTTCACCTGCCGGAGGAAGGACTGTAATGGTCCCTATTTATCTACTCGCATTTGCATGCTTTCGAACCGCTAGGTTGGCGGGAGCTGGGACAAGCAACGGGTGCTCATTCTGTTGCGTGGATTCGATCTTACGACTGCCGGATCTTCTGACCCTGCAGCACAGGCTTCTGCGGTTTAGCCCACAGCGCCACCACATCCCTTTTTTTATAATCTATTATGATTATAAGATCATAATAGATTAAAAATTGATCATTAAAACAGGATGGTGGCCAAAGAATGTCAAAAACATGGTTCATTAAAAAAGTTAAAATGAATTTAAAAAATAGCTGGTTTTGGAAAGAAAGGCAAATAAGGTTTAAAGCCAGTTTAAAAGGGAAGGTTTTCACCTGCTGCAGGAAGGACTGTAAAGGTAAGGCTACCCTGGCGTTGTGCTCCAAACTGCTGTCCCCTGATACAGAGTCCATGCTCTCTGATTCACCTTATTGTTTCCTGCACATCAAAAACAGAGTACAAAGCAGGAGCACAAACCAACTTTAATACCAGGGGATGAAGGTCCTGCATGCTGGAGCGCTCAGTGACTTAGGCTTCCGGCTATGGAGCCAGAGGCTCGGAGTTTGATTCCACCACTGCGTCTCCTTGACAAGGGCTGGACTCAAAGATCCATCGGGTCCCTTCCGGCTGTGCTGTGCTAAGATTCTGGGGTTATATTGAGTGAGACCACACTCTGTAACTGGAAAAGTAACGAAAAAGTCACAGTGGCATGCACGAGAAGTGAAGCGACGCCTCATTATTGTTACAAGCATAAGGTAAGGTCAGTTATATATATTTGTTAACAGAGCAAAGGAATTGATGCTGAATAACTAGTTATTTGTAACTAGTTGATTGTAATTAGTTCCTTCTAAGCTGTTCAGAAAGAAGGCTGCCCGCCAAAGAATTGATGCTTTTGAATTGTGGTGCTGGAGGAGGCTCTTGAGAGTCCCCTGGATTGCAAAGAGAACAAACCTATCCACTCTGAAGGAAATCAACCCTGAGTGCTCACTGGAAGGACAGATTCTGAAGCTGAGGCTCCAATACTTTGGTCATCTCATGAGAAGAGAAGACTCCCTGGAAAATACCCTGATGTTGGGAAAGTGGGAAGGCAAGAGGAGAAGGGGACGACGGAGGACGAGATGGATGGACAGGGGCATCGAAGCGACCAACATGAATTTGACCCAACTCCGGGAGGCAGTGGAAGACAGGAGGGCCTGGCGTTCTCTCGTCTATAGGGTCATGAATAGTCAGACACGACTTAACGACTAAACAACAAACAACAAGCTGTTCAGCATATGTGCCATCCATGTAAAACGGAGAACACACAGTAATCTTAACCTCACGTGGTAAAATGACTCCACCATCCAGCAAACCTTCCTTTCTGATAGATAAAGAGAAAGAACAGATTGGAGCAGAGTGAGTTTTGGATAGATAACGACACGGTGGATTAATCTGGCACCTCTTTTTCTCCCGGGGTTTCACACAAATCCCCAGGTTTTGCGCCAGATGATTTTGGGGTCCACCTCGCACTCTTCACCCGGACCGTGGCATATTCGGAACTCTCTTCTGGATCCCTTGTCTTGGCTCTCTCTGGAGGCCAAGCATCCTTCAGCTCAGCATAGACAATCTCTTTCTCTGCATGGGTCTTATGGCGGGAGGGGGAAGGGGAGAGGGAGACAGGAAAGGAAACATTAATAGATCAACTGAGCCTCTTCTTCAGGGCATTAAAGCCAAGGCAATGAGGGAGCAATTTCACAAGCAGGCACGAATCCTGCCGGCTGTGACACTGAGTTTTGCGAAATGCTGCTGGGAAGAATCCAATTGAAAGCAAAAAGTAAGTTTCTAACCCTTATGATTGCAAAGACAGACTTACTTGAAAGGGACAGAGCAACATCTGAGCCTGAAATCTCAGATACGAGAGTGGAGAGTATGACATATGACACAGCTCTGGAAAGAATAAAATACACCTTCCCAAAAGTTGGTAGTGACAATTTCAGATCCCAGACATTTCAGGGCCTTTCTGGGAAGGGCCAGTCATTTAGGAGCGAACAGAGCCTTTAACGAACAAGTAGGAATCTTTAGATCAGCTTTTCTTCCTAAAGCATACTTTTATGTCCTTGAAGCTTCCCAGGGCTGCCCCAAACAGGAGGATCATAAAGTTACATTTGAAAAGCAGCACGCTAAGCAGGAATGGAATTACTTTGCTGATTTAAGGAATCATGTTTTCTAGTTCATTTTAAAAGGGAAATCCAAGGCATTTAAGCCAGGAATTCTTGAAATTTATTCCCATTCCATTATCAAGCCTGATTTTAACAAATAACACAACGTAACAGAAAAGGCAACAAGCATAGCATCAATGAATTACCTTTTAAAAATAACAGGAGTGACTTACTTTTAAAGAGTAGCTTTCTAAGACTTGGCCAAACACACTAATATTAGGAAAGCGTCTAAAATCTGCAGTTACTCTTTCTTTATATGACTTTGGGAAAAACAGGCTGCACTTTTGTGACTTCCTGTTGTTTAGGGAAACAGAGAATGGGATTTACGTTGCTATAATTTTTACTATTATTATTCCTCATACCTCATTCACAGTTTTTCGTTTTTCTGGAGGGATTTTTTCAGACCTAGCAGGAAAAAAGCATACAGAATGTACATTTAAAACTCTGGACGTGGAAGGGGGGAATAATTTTGTCTTATTCCCTCTCTCAGCTTAGAAACATCTCTCTCTCTCTCTCTCTCTCTCTCTCCTTTCTCTCTCTCTGGACTACAAGTCCCAGAATCCCCAACCAGCATTCTTAGAGCTGCAATCCTTCATGTTTTCAAAATATACAGGGGGCCATATCATCCTCTTATCACCCACCCAATACCATGTTCTTTGCCTGGGAAGCCCGCCAAGGGTGCCTAAGAAAACCCTAAATTTTTACTCTATAAAACATTCATCAAATGAATAAAAGCATGTTTAATTTTTAATGTGTGCTTGACTTTTCACAGAGTTTTCAGGGAGTTGTCGAAAATAATGGTGTCCGCCGTGTCACCACTGGATGTCCCCCCAGACAGGCTGAGCTACAAATCTCATAATCCATACACATCATAGCCAGTTACTGTTGGCCATGATGACTGGGGAGGATGGGTCTTGTTGTCCCGGAGATCCAGAGGGCACCAGCTTGAAAAAAAAAGGGGAACAAGGCTGAGGTTTCTGGGAGTTGCAGTCGAAGAACACATGGGTCACCCAAGGTTGGGAACCTCTGGCCTATAGAAACAGTCATTGTTTTAATAGAGAAAAGGCATATGAATGGAAAAATAAAAATTTTGGATTCTGGTCCCTAGAACCCTCCCAGATCCTGGGTGTTGTTTCTAAAAAAAAAGAGCAAGTTTTCAAAGTTTGATACAGAAAAACTAGGAGAATCTAGATTCATGCCTTTAGAGAGAGGGATGTGCGTGATGGAGAAATCACATCCTCTGCTTTGTTTCTAGGTAGGAAGCAGGGAGCTCTGCTCCCAGATATTTTGGACTACAGAACCCATGATCCCTTGGCTGGGGCTTCTCTGACCATGGGACTGAAATGGAAGATGCTGTGGCATTAAACTCGGCCCTTTTTTGGGGCCCAGCCATAAACACAATAGGAAAGAAACACAGGCCAAATCAGGATTGTGTAAGATGCGTCACCAGCCTTATCTTGCGGCCTGTGGAGAACTGATTCTAGTCCAAGATACCCCTCTTCAAATGGGCCAGGGCCCCTGATGAGAATGGCTGCTTTAGGATATTGTCACAGCATCCATTGAAACATGAGGACCAGAAACTTGCTGAGTCCTACAAGCTAAGGCTGATGGAGCAAATGCAACCCAAGAACGTCGGGAGAGCAGCCGTTTCTCCTCCTTTGTTTTCCAAGGTTTTCCCAACATTTTAGTGCTGTGAATGGGGGAAGGTAAACTATTTTTCACTGTGTACATAATCAGAGGGATGTTTATAATCAGAGGATGTCCGGGTGTTTCCGGGGGTGTACATGAGTGTGTGTTTTGGTCACACCCAAATTTGTTTCGGACACATGCGTACACCGGTTTCCTGAATCTGCTTCTATCTGTCCGGTTTGGGGATGTTTAGATTAGATCAGCCGGTGGGTGAGTGTCAGAGATCGAGAGAGAGAGAGGAAGAAAGGAGGGCAATTACTCAAATCCAATTTCAAATATTGAGTAAAGAAGTCATAAAGAATGGCTGTAAAGAAAGCCACAGGGGAGACTCCCTGGGAAAGAGACGGCCCAGCTCTTTGGAGAGCACCCTGATGATTCTGCTGAAATTAACAAGACCACAGACATCCACTTCCTCCGTTTCTCAGATCCTTAAGACGGGGCAAACATCCCACCCCAGTTGGTCACGGACGGTGGGTTCCTAATGAAAGCAAGGCATCCCCAGATAAGCTTTTGAGCCGGACTTTGAAAAGCCACATGGCTTCTCTCTGGCCAAACGCCACACAGCCAAACTTTGTGTACACTAAAACCAAGCCTAAGCAAAACCAAACAAAAAGGAAATCCCAGAAGTCAACTTTGGATTTAAAACGACTCTGGTGGAGCGCTGCTGCGTCTGCTTACACATGTACGCTGCTTGAATAAAATAACCGAAAGTTTCTGAATAACCAGGAGCATTTATATTATTTATTTGTTTTATTGGATTTCTACCCTGCCCATCCTAGACCAAAGGTCTACTCTGGGCGGCAATGCCTTCTCTCCCCCAGTTCCCTGAACTGTCTCTGTTTTGTTTCTAGGTCGGAAGCAGGAAGCTCTGCTCCCAGATATTTTGGACTACAGAACCCATGATCCTTTGGTCGGGGATTCTCCGACTGTGGAACTGAAATGGAAGACGCTGTGGCATTAAACTTGCTCCCTTGGGGCAAACCAAGGCAAAATAATTCATGCCACGCAAGGATAACAAATTGCATCAAAATCACGGAAAATTGGGACAATGTCTTGGTAGTAACTGGGTTCAGACCAATGTCGTCTGGATAGCAGGGGAAAAGCTGATAGCAACAGTACAGGATCCAGTAGATGCTCAATCTGGGTAAGCATCTCTGTCTGTCATGTTCTTTCTGTATCACATTTATGGATCTCAGTGCCTGGATAGGCTAAATTGTGCCCATCACGTTTGGACGGCAACTCCCATAAATCTCAGGGGGCCTAACCAATTGGCATGGATTATGGGAGTTGTAGACTTGGAAACATCCAGGAGGCACCAGCTGTCTACCCTATGGCTGTCTGTCAATTGATTGATTGATTGATTGATTGATTGATTGATTGATTGATTGATTTCAATTTACATCCCACCCATCTAGACCAAAGTCTACTCTGGGCGGGTAACAATAATGGATAGAAGTAAAAACAATATAATAAAATAAGGACAGCAGTAATAATATAATTCAAAAGTGATGACAGGAGAAAAAGCCTGTCTAAAGAGCCAGGTCTTTTGTCATCCTGCTGTAACAGTTAAGACATTTTCCTAATATCCAGCCTAAATCTGGCTTCCTATAAGCTTCAGCCCCAGTGTTACGGACTAAGGGCCAAGTTCCAGAGGATGCCAGCGAGGTACGACTACCTTCTCCTATTGTAAAAT